ATCTATCTATCTATCTATCTATCTATCTATCTATCTATCTATCTATCTATCTATCTATCTATCTATCTCTTTGTAAAATGCTTCTACTGCAACACAACTATGTAAAACAAAAACCTATATGTTGTTGTTATTTTGTGGGTCACCACACACAGTATGAAGATTAGTTCATGTACACAAACTTTTGTTCCTATTAATATGCCTGATGATATTCACAATGGGAATCAAAGAAAATAGTTCCAAGGAAGTTATCTTATTTTAGTTTTTATGAGTCATAAATGTAAAATACTAAATCAGCTCTGCTATTTAAAATTGTGTTGTGACCGATGACAAACAAAGCAGAATTATGGTTAAAAGAGCTTTAGCTGAAAGGTAAATTAATAATTATATATATGTATATATGTGTGTGATAATAATACTACATTGTATTTGATGGCGCCTTTCAAAACACCCAAGAACACCTTACAAAACAAAAATAGAACAAACATTAAAGCCCAAACAATTTATCAATAGTACAATCAAATAATAAAAACATAACTATCTATCTATCTAGTCAACATTTGAAGTAATTATTTCACTCAGGTTTACTCCATATAGGTTTCAGTAAGTATTGAAGCTAAAATATACATCTAGTGGAATAACCACATGAATAATAATAATAATAGTAATACATACCAGTCCCGTTAAAATAAAGACATTATTTCCACAAATCTAAAAACAATAATATGTCCACAAAAATAGACAAAGAAAAAAAATCTAAATGCACAGATGTTCATGTTCAGATGTGCTGACAAAACGAATAATATTATAGCCTTTCATTAAATGTATGGAGACGAGATTTTGGGACATCTATGGACAAGAGGGTCACAATAAGGGGTGGCCAGGGGCATCTTGCGCTGTTGATTGTTGGTGTAGATGTGCGGACATGTCCTCCTCGGATCTACAGCCATGGATGATAGTGTTCATAGATGCCTTACAGGTAATAAAAATAACCCAGCTCATGTAAAAACACAAAAAAGTGCAGATTTACTCAAAGTGCACAACAGAACAGTGACTCACTTTATCCTCAGAAAGAGAGAGAGAGACAGAACAACATATCAGAAAGATCGCTTTGTCAATATCTTGTACAGCCTGAAGGGTCA